CTTGAGATGCTGGTGAAAGGAAAACAACATGTGTGTGGACTATGTGTTAGAGCAACGATATGTCGATGGACGGATTATCAGATGTGTCACATGCGTCATTTTGCATAATTCATTTAAATGCTCTAAAAGCTCAATTATTTCACTGATCAATTGTCACGGGAAATGCATCGACAGCGAAGAAGGTTGTGTCTTGATTTTGATTCTGTTTTTGTGGAAGTAGCTGAAAACATTTATCACCCACTGGAGAGACCTTGCTTTTTTATTGATTATAGCTTTGATTATAGCTGATTATCATGAAAAGGAAACTGCACGCTTTTGTGAGTTTTTATGGCAGATTGTGTTATTGTTTTCATCAGTCTGGGCTCTGCAGGGAGCCTCTTTAAATATTTATCAACACGGTGTCTTTTATGTGAGGCCAGTACAGCTCTGCAGACTGATGCATCAGGAGCGAATGATCATCAAGATCTGACCCTCCAGGCCTTTAGGACCCTTCAGGAAATATGTGCATGGCAATTTCTTCCTGATTGAAAAGAAGTACAGAGAGAATACCTCTCAGCTGTAACCACGGTGATATACGGTGCATCATAAATTGTACCAATAATGTGTTTTTTTAACTTTGATTCACTGGGGCGTTCACGAACTGTAGCAGAAATTCAACGATTGCCTCACAGCGTAGACACTAACACAACGTGCTTTCGAATAATAACAAAAGACTTGTTTCCTCATCCTTAAAAATATTTAACATATAACACCTCTTTCCAGTTGGTCTTACTGTGTGTAAAACCAATCAGAAAAAGGTGTTGAATTATTGAAACCTGGGCCTGTTTAGTTGAACACAACACCGATATACGCACAGGCATTGAAGAAAGTGTGCAACGATTGTTCAATGGCTATTTATTATTTTTTTAATAGCTATCTGGTGCCACCTAGTGTAGTGTGAGTCTTTCATAATACAAAATATTAGCAGTAAATAAATAATAAATTTATATAATTTATACATTTTATTCTATTTGCAGAATCTGTAGAGACAGAAAAAAAATGGATTTTCATTTGTTTTCTCACTGTGAATGTGAGGAAAGAACACAAACATCACACCTTTGGAAGAGATGCCCTGGAGCCAGAGCTTTGCGTGGTCATGGTTAGCACAGTGGTGATGCCCAGTGCCACTCTGGCTGGAGCAGCATCCATATTAATCCAGAAAGACACCCATGAGAGGATGACAATCAGCAGGGAAGGAATGTACATCTGGATTAGATAGTAGCCCATCTGTCGCTCCAGGTGGAACTTCACTTCGATGCAGGTAAATTTTCCTGTTGAAGAAAAACACAAGCAGCGACCACGTGAGGCGGTGACTCTGTCAAAGACACTGAGGTGGATTTGACTGCGTCCTCTCACCAGTGTTGTAGTGTTTGGTACAGTAGCCCAGCTCCTTCTCCTCCCTCATGATGAACTGAGGCAGCGTGAGACCCTCGGACACCTGCACCGCCCCGTCCTCCAGCCACTCGAAGATCAAGTCGTTCATGGTGTAGCCAACTGGGGACATGAGACGGACGTTTGAGTCAAATATGGATAATCAAACAATGACTGTTGAAGGAGGAGACAAAGTCCTTACAGCTTTCCAACTGCATCGTGCAGGTCTGGACGTCCATGGGGAAGTTCTTCAAATCCATTGGACAGGACAGAATGAGAGTTAACCTAGGACAGAAGACACAGTCAGTGTCAAATACAGAAAGACAACTTTTCATCATTCATAAATTATTGTCAGTATTAGTGTCTGGCCATTTATTGTTCCATCTGTTTTGTGAGGTCTAGAATTCAGCCCCAAACCATTACGGAACAGCTGTATCAAGTTATTCCAGCATCACACACTGGTAGCTCGAGACCCTCGTTCACCAGTGCTTGTTAATTTTTCTAATTTAGCGTTGAAATTCTAATGAGTAAACACACGTCTCAAGAAACTGAAGTAGAATTAGAGTTGGGACGTTCTCTCAGAGCAATCTCAACACTGCACGCTACGTTCTCAGTCGATGAAGGCTTCACCCACACGTGTTGGATTCCCTTCAGCGGGTTCCTATCACACTTTCATTACTGCAACTTATTGCCTCTCTGATGCATTGTGGTCCACAGTCTGCTCGCTCTGTCATTTTGCTCATAAATGGCGAGAGGCTAACCGGCACTCATCTCTGCCGTTGACTCAGTCTCCCTCTGCACCTGCGCTCCACTCAGCCCGGAGCTGCTCTCCAAATGGACTCAGAATCGATCTGCTGGGCTTCGCACCATTGCAGGGAGAATTGAATGGTCTGTGCCACTGAAGTTGGATTGAAGTGAAATGAAACATATTGTAATATCTTGTTTGGAGTTTTTGATTTGTTTGGCTGATTTGCTGTTTTTCAAACACCCTCAGTGTTTCCATGTTTCTGATTTCTTTTTTGCTTTGCAAAATACAGATCACCATGTAGAAGGAGTTAGAATATTTTTTTCCTGCTCCCCATGAGATCCAAGATCTCAAGAATGCCTGAGAGGTGAAGTGATGTTCTGGCAATCAGCGTTCCTTTATTACGAATATCTTCATGCCACATGGGACGTATTGTACAACTTCAAAGAGGAGGTTCATAATGTGATAAAATCCAATTAATACTGTAGGCGTCAGATTGACAATCTCTGCCGTTTGAGAGGGAAAAGTAATAAGTGAACGTGTCCTGGGGAGATGTGTGCATCACAGGATTCTCTTCTCTGGATTCATTTTTCTCCAGTCACTATGATTCCTGCCACCACTGCAGCATTACAGGCCTGAACATCAGCCTGGGAATCACTGTTGATGAACATTTGAGCTGTCTGGACAAAAATTGGTTCAATTCCAGAGCAGAGCCTCGTGTTGTTGCCTGTCAGTGTCTGCTAACCTGATGCTGTACAGGACAGTCCCATCCTTGAAGATCCGCAGCAGCTTGTTGTCAGTGGTGACATCATGGAAGTTGGCTCCCTTCTCGTTGGCAAAGAAAAGGTCAGGCTTCCATATGGAGTCCAGCATGGACGGGTCCAAGTCCAGGGAGGAGTCTGGGTATTTGCTGTACGCCAGCCGAGGGTCATTCCACTTCTGGCGGAGGAAGATGTTCACTCTGTAATCCTGTGGAGATGACAAGCAGCTTTGCATATTTTGAAGAGCAGCAATCGGGGTTAAGAGGAAAGGAAAAACTAGTCGCCAGGATTCGTTTTATGGTGAAAAATCCACATGCACAAAAATATAAATCAGGCAGTGGAGTCTGCATATATGTGACATATATATTTAACATTTACCTCCAAATGTTACTAAGGGAGAAATATATTTGCCCGTAGTACTACATGTATGTAACTTGTTTTTGTTTTTGTTTTTTTTACACATTTTTGTTTACATTTTTTACGCATACAGACTCTGCTGGAAATGAGCGTTTTTCTATAACGTATATAAACGATACAAGATGAATTCCTAAAAATAACTTCTCATTAAACGATTATCTCACAGCCATAAGGAGACGGGCGAGGCTTCTGTTAGATGTGCAGGCTGATGAAGAATTCTGACGTGTGTCGTTATCAGTTAACTAACAATGTCACAAACCTCGGAGTACCGGACGTGTCATGTCGACGATAAGCTCTTTGATATTTCCTTAGTGTCTCGGCAGTTTAAAAAGTCATTATTAACCCATATTTCTAAAGCAGCATTAGCATCTGTCATTTATTAATTGAGAGGATGTTATCAATATGAGAGCTTTTTTGGATTTCAAGGCAGAGATATGGGGTCAGAAGGTTAAATTGCCTCTGAAAATGTTTGAATTTACCCTTTAAATACTTGATGTAAAGGGTTTTAATATTGCTTTTGATTTTGATTCATGCATTGTTGTTATTTCTTTGTTATTTCATTGGTAAAATATAATGGTTTAAGAATGGTTTAAGCAAAAAGACGCTAAATAAACAATTATAAATTAAAAAAAAATTGAATCTTTGACATGAGTTAAATGTTTAAGCGTTGGTTCATTCGGATATTGATATTTCTCAGTATTCACAGCTCGAAGTAGTTGGCAAAACGTGCTAACAGATAAGTAAAAAAACAAACAAAACACATTCAGTATGTGACGTAGTCTTACATCCACTAAGAGTCAAACCTTCATCAACACGTCCGTGCACACACTGGACTCACCATTGTAGTTTCTGCTATAGAACCAAAGCTGTTGATAAATATGTTGCAGGTAACATTAACTGGTGGACCTGCAGGTTGAGGGATAGATAACACATGGACAGATTGCACAGGGCAGAAATCAGACAGAATACCAGAGGCACTCACCATAGTTGTCTCTGTGACAGAGCCGAAACTGTTGATAAAAATATTGCATGTAACGTTTACAGGGACACCTGTGAAATGGAGTGACAATGACATGAGAGGGCAGAAAGACCTGAAGATCATTATCAGGACGTCTGACTGGGCGAGCAGTAGAGTTACACAACCACACAGTAGGAGCAGCAAGTACTGACTAAGTCCACATCCTGTAGCTGGAGTAAATTAGTCATTACATAATGATACATATAACTAAACATAAAAATACATGTAAAGGAAAAGGGGCTTTATTTGCATGCTGTGTCAACAGGTTCTAGTCTGTTTACTGCTACGGTTTAGGGGAATAAGTCAATAAGTTCTTTAAACCTCGTCTTTACAAGTTCAACATGGACGATACGTGCACACAGACACTGATGTGGAGTCACAACAAATCTGACATATATTTATATTCATATATATACATATATGTATATTTATATATATATATTCATATATACATATACATACATTTTTATATATACATACTCTATATATTTTTTAAATTTTTTTCTTGATGATTTAAAAAACAAAACAAATATACGATTTAAGCAGAAATTCTGTAGCATCCTTTACACTACGATGAATCATTAGGAAGCCAATACATGAAGCCATTTATTTTCAACAAATTAGCTATTTTCCCTAGAGGTTGGAATCAGAAATGCCTGTGATTTGCATCTAATTATTAGTATCTCAGAATAGCTTGTATGAAAGAGAAGAAGAGTAGTAGCCAGACAACAGTTTCTTTTTTTTTTTTTTATAACTAGATCAAATGAATCAACAACTCTTTATTTACTCGGTTGTCACCTGCTACAACACATGCAGATATAAAATCTGATCTAAAGTGAAACTGGAGCACTGACTGTCAAACACACAGAGTTAAATGTGAACCAGCAGGCGCCGACCAACACTGGTTTTCATACTTCAGTTAGTACTGGCAGGTTGTGTGAAGCTGTTTTTTTTTCTTTCACTCTCTATCTGAGAGGTAAAGTTGTGAGCTCTCCCCAGTCTCCATTCCCTTTGCTTTCCTCATCAATACTGCATGGGACTCTGGGTAATTATATTTGCCTCTGTTTTTCTTTTTTTTTTTTTGTCAGGTGGCTACATATAACAGCAGAAGCAGGGAAAAAAAGCGGCAGCACCTGACAACAAACTCAGCGATGAAATCTAGGTCAGCCTTCAGGAAATACAGTTCAGCAAACTCTGAGTAGCAGGTAACAGGAACGTCCTGCAGGGTTCATGCAAATTTACTCGCTCCCTAATTATGAGGCGCTTGATTTTGTGTATCCAAAACATTTCCAGGGGGAATGTGATTTAACATCAGGTTCTGAAACAGGCAACTGTTTCATGCCTTTCCGTTGTAGTTTTCCCAGTTCATAGTAAATTCTATCCTCACACCTCCAGTTTATTTGAGCTCCCCCTCCTCTAGAGTAGACCCGGCAGTTCCTTCCAGTTTCGGAGCTGCTTTTAATTGCTGGCTCGAAAACAGCGGGAAAACCCCGGCCTGAGTGGTAGTGGGTCACAGATGGACTTCTACTCACTCGTCTCTGCTCCACTGACAGGTTCCCTGTCTGTCTCTGGCATCACAGCAGCAGCAACACAAACAACAACAGAGCAAGGCAGCAGCCTACAGCCATGCCACGGGGTTTCACCATCCATCATCTGCTCTGTCATGTGTCGGCCGCCAGTGCCAGTTTGAGAGCGAAGACTCCTGTTTATCAATGTTAACCAAATGAAAACAGGAGCAGTGTTGTAATAAGGAGTGCTATCATCAGTGGTGTCACTGAAGCCATGATGCCGGACAGTCTTGTTGCTGTCAACTAAACTTTGATTGATTGTTGCTATGGAGGCACTGCCAGCACTCTATCTTCTCAGGAGATAACAGCCATGGATCTTCAGATGGAGAACTGTCAGCTTGTGTTGCACGTGAGATGGAAGATTTGAAGAAAAGATGGGGGGAAAAAATGATGACAGAAGGTGATGGCTTTGTAGTTGGGGGGCGGGGCGGGGGCAGCGTGAGGAGAGACAGAGGTGATGAATGTTCAACGCACCTTTAAAATTGGGTCTTATTCGTGCGTCGTATCCGGACGTGCGACCCATGAGGGAGTCCAGAAAGTCTGACGGAGACATGGAGGAGGATCTGGACTCGTGCTCCTTTGCATTCACAACTCTGGATAAAACACAGGATCATAATACAAATATCAACAATAAAATAAAGAGTATTCAATTCAAATGACACGCAGTGCACATTTCACATCACTGTGGTGTCGCAGGAAAATAAAAAAATACAAACGCCACGCGCGTAAAGGCATCACCGGATATACGTTGTTTTTTAGTTGACGTTAACCACGGTAGAAACGAAATTAGTCATCCACGGAAGGAATTACGAACTCGGGAGAAATTACCAATAAAAAAAGATAAGATACGATTTTGACATGATGAGAGAAGATAAAACTTTATCAATCTTAGAAGAACATTTGTTGTTGCACCAGCAGCAGGTAATCAAAGAAACACGGAGGATTAAAAAAATATATCATTAGGGAAAAAAAGAGAATGATTGACATACAAATACGAAACGATTAATATGCGACAGATATTACACAAAAACAAAGTGTATTGCACAGTTGTAAAATAAATTACGTTTTTATTCTTTTTTTTTTTTTACCTAGGTCTTACCTGAAGTTGTGCGTCGCCATGAAACATGTCAATAAAGCTAGCAGAACCCTGAAGAAGGAGCGACTCATTCCCGGTGGTTTTCCCATGTGCTCACTTTTCTAATGTCTTCCTTACGTTTATGTTTACATCGGTCAAACACATAATCCACGGAGGGACTCCGCTTTCCTCCCGAGCAGCTCGTGGGCGTTTGTGTGTTCTTGTGCCACACAAAACCACAGGAGACATTCCTCAACGCCAGCACAGATCATAGTTTTACTTTGGTCAAACTCTGACTCTCCGGAGCGGCGCCCTGACGGAGGTGTGAGGAGCCATCAGCTCTGCGCTGACGGTGGAAGACGTCGAAAAGGTGAACAACTCCAAAACGCATCACTTATTGGCACGGACGTGGATCTGAGGTGGACGCCGTCTCTGTGAAGACCACCGTGTTGGCTCCTGGAGTGAACTACTTCGCAGCTGAAGCTCCGTCTTCTGTTGTGGAATGAGAGAGTAACGCCTATTTTTGTTTTTTCGATTTCAGCACTTGGACAGCTCCCGGTGTCGTTACGCGCAAGCGCACGACTTAAAAGTGGTGAACGTGCGTTGGTTTTCGAAGCCAATAAACAAGTAGATACTTTACTGTTAAAAAAAACAAAAAAAAAACCTTTCCCAGTGTAAGAAAAGACACCGGTTTCACTTCGATGCTTTGACTTAACAGTGAAAGCAGCGCAGTGATGCATCAGGAACCACGGGGTTTATAATATGCCTGGTTTATACCCCAAATATAATGATTATAAACACAAACGTTTGATTAATAATAATATAGAGAGGAATCCACCTGAGTTTCCGGGTCACAAACATTATTTTTTTGTATTTTTTTTGACTCCTCATTGTCTGTGGAGACACACACACACACACAGATATGAAAAGTGTAAACAGAGGACGCACAGTGAGAAGCCGCCGCGAGAGTATTTGGTACCCAGGTTGCCCTGGAAACAGATTTCCGTGGCACATCATTGGAAATGCTGAAAGGTTGGCCTCTCGGAGGGTGAGACAGACAGGAGGGAGGGTGGGGGGGGAGAGAGAGAGAGAGAGAGCTCTGACTGAAAGAGAGACCAAGACACAAACAGAGACAGCAGGAAAAACACCAGAGGCATGGCTGGAGTTCTTTTGTTGGAGAGATTAGATAACAGTAGTTAGCCACTTAAAATAAGAAATTAATTTTGAAAAAGAAATATATATATAAACACCAGTGTTAAGAAAAGGCGCTACAGAGAAAAGGGAGAGGGGGGTGAAGAGGAGCTGGAGGTAGTGGATGAGTTTTAATACCTGGGATCAGTCTTCCAGAGGTGAAGTGGAGGGCACAGAGACACAGTAAAGTAGGTGTAGGCAAGTGTCAGGGAGGTAGAGTCTGTTCACCACAGTAGTGAGACCTGCTATGATGTGTGGTGCACAGACGGTGAGCTGAGCTGGATACAGTTGTTGAAGAAAACAGGGTTTGTGGTGAAGTGAAAGTGAATTGTTTGTCGTTGTGACACAGCACACAACGAAGTGCGACCTCTGCTTTTAACCCATCACCAGAGTCAGCAGGGGGCAGTGTGTGGGGATGGTGCCACCTCAGTGGCAACTTGGCAGCTGGTGGACTCGAACCTTATACCTTCTGGACCCAAGTCTGCTTCCTTAACCACCACTCCCCCCTACAGTGTTTACCGCAGATGGAACTTGAATCCACAATCCATGGCTCAGGAGGAGATAGATATCGAGCAGAGGGGCATGAAGTTGATGAAGATTGGTGTAATAGTCAAGCAGCCAAGACACAGGGTGAAATGGAGCCAAAAGATCCACTGTACCAAGTCCTGGAGGAAGTAGCCAGAAGAAGAAAAATGAAGGAGACATTTTTAAAGAAGAGAAAAACACAAAACTAGTGCAATTAAAAAGGAAAGTGGAAACGGGCAGTGTGTGGATGTGAGTGGATTGTGAGTCTTTAAGGCCACAGGCATGAATGACTCATTCCACAGGAGAACATAGGCCTGTGCCGGGGAGGAAACCAGCTCAGCCAAGTGAGAGGGAAAGATATTTGAATTCCATTAAGCCATTTTCAGGCATCGTGTTCTGAGATCACCGTCGATGCTGTGACAAACTGCGAGTCTTATTTACACTTAGGTCTGACACTTGCTGTAGGTTGGTGGAAGATATATGAGTGTCAGTGCCGTGGAGTCGTACTCTGCCCCCGGGTTGTGGATATAACATGAACGGAACATCAGAGTCTCGTGGAATGCCATGTTTTACCACATGTTCGCTGACATAAATATTACATGTCCGCTATGAATTATTCACCTATAGGTGCATGGACTGCACATTTGAGTCTAATTAACAAGGAAAACAGGAGTTTGAGATTCGTTTCGCGTGACGAACCACGCATCGGCCAGATTTGTTGTTGTTGTTTTCACGAGCGTAAAGTCATCGAGTCAGGACACAGTCAAAACACAACAACGTCTACAAGAGCCCATGTTTTCTCACCACTCTTCAATGAATACGTCACCTAGTGGCGAGAGACGAAATTGTCTCAGCACTCAAGTTCCCTTTATTAGCCGTCTCCCACACTCTCGGCCTGTCTGTGTAATGACAAGCAGCCATGGCTCCAATTGGCCATTAGTCTCCATGAGGGAAGTCTTTGGACCAGGTGGGTCACATAATTAAAGGAGAACACGTCAATTCTGCCATTAAAGTGGAAGGAGGCAGAGAGACAGAGAGACAGAGGGAGAGACGTTCAGAACACAGGACCGTTCCTTTGACAAGACCTGTCTGTTGGTCTCATTTATGCAGCGTTTTTCATGCAGCCATTAAAATCACAGACCGGAGACAGGCAAAGGAGCTGTGTAACGCTGCCCACACACACAACAACAAAGATCGGTGTCTGCCCATGCCAGTTATTCTGTGGGGACTAAAGGGATTTATATAGTTTATTGTGGTGTCCTAAAGGATTTTCGTCACAATTTCTTTTTTTTTTTTTTACTTTGAAATGTATAATCACACCGTTTCCTGCAGACTTCACTGCCAGACGTGTTTCAAAAATACATTGAAAACCTCAGATCTGTAAGTTTGTACAAATTTAGAAACTGACGCCCGCAGGATGAGTTAAGTCAGAGGCAGCGCGTGGCTGACATGAACTAACAAAAGGATGAATAGAATCAAATAGATTAGAATAGATTAGACTTGATTTTGCCACAGTGCGAAAAGAAAGAAAGGCAACAGTTCAAGCAGCAGAACTTGAGGTGCTGTCAGCCCTGAGGCCTTTGTACAGCAGCAAGGAAATATTTTAAATTATAAAAGTTCAAGAAAAACGAAATACCTTTCTTAGACGTGTGTAGTATCTGTGTATATCTCATACAAGAAGAATGCAAAAAAGTGAACAATATGTAAACATGCAGGTTTCTGTCATCAGATTCTCCTCTTTTTGACGCATATTTTCTTCCCGTAGACCAGTCAGTCAGGACTGACGTTGACCAGCTGTAAAATTCCCAATATTTCTTGGTGAAACTACTGTTTACTTTTTCCCCGTTGTACGCTGTTGCATCATTTGTCTTTTACATACAATATATGCAAATCCTCACAGAGTAAACACTGATGCAACTGCACACAGTCACAGATGCTACTGATTTCAGTCTTTTCTTTCCAGTTTTGATTCATATGAAGAATCTCACACTTTTGTATTGGATAGGTTCACCTTTCTATGGACAACACAGCCACTGAAAGCATTCTGGTTATAAGGACAAAAGTTGAGTTTTTGGACATACAGTGTACACTAGTGACCATCAACTGACTCCATTTGAAAATAATGTGATTTTTATTTCATTTTATTTTAAGTCTCCGCCTCCAAGGAAAAATCTGGCACCTCCAAGAAATGTGCTAAAAAGTTTTGGTAAATTAAATTCTCTCTCGTGATCTACTGGTACATCACAATCTGTTTATTGGGCAGAGCTGCTTTAAAACAACTTTAACTGAGCCGGAAGCTGCACTTCGCAGGTGCTGTAATGAATTCCCTTCGATAACCCAGTCATTTTTGAACCAGCTGGAGAGTTCACCTGGAAACTAAACGCCAGATCCCACCACTCTGATGCTCATGTGCACTGGACCGTAAACAAATGAGATCTGCACAGTGTCCACCGCCCCATCGATTGCTTGTATCTTTATCCCGCTCTAATGACTTTTTCGCTCTATAATTCAACCCGTGGAGCTGATCCTTGGCCTGGCAGGGATACGGAGAACTCAAACTGTGGTCAGAGCTATTTTTGACAGCGGCCATGTACATTCCTGAGGAAGAAGGCAATGATTTAATGAGTGGGTTTTTGTGGAGGAGGAGGGGGAGGAGGAGGAAGGATTTGGGAATCCGCTGAAGCGTTAACACCCGACGCAATTATCATAAGCTTTCCGTCATTGCAAAATGAAGCTATTTTGAGGCTTGGATCCATGTTACATGCAACATGAGTGAGAGCATGTAGATTTGAAACACATGCAAGTTGCAACACAAATATGTGGAAAGGCGGAGTGATAAAGTGATGCACTGACACCACACTCCTTTGGTCACTTTAACACTTCAGGCAGGTTGAAGAGGGCAACTACAGTTCCCACATCAGGATTTCATTTTTTCTCTTTTTTTCCACTTCCATCACAGCTTTCCTTCATCAGCAGAAGCGCTGTGACAGCCACAGAGCCTTTCTCCATCACTGAGCATCACCACACAGTCAGTCTGTCGCCACGCATTCAGTCAATGCGGATGCCAAAACAGCAGTCCAGGACGTGGACATCATACTGGACATTAATGACTGTCTTCAGTTTGTTAAGCAATTAGCCTCAGAATGAATCCATCATGTTTCTCCACCCAGATCTACATTCCAGGCGCTCTCCTCTGAATTCCAGTTTGGCGTGCAGTCAACCACAGATTGAACTGCACACACACACACACACACACACACACGCTGTTCCCTTCACTGCCTGCTCCATGTTGAAGACACACCTCACATTTATCCAACGCTTGTCACACCGCTCCGTCACTGGAGCTGTGCAGCTGTCAGAGTGGTTCAAGACCAGACTGAAGACTGGATGCATTTTAAACCTGCTTATCCAGGCTACATCAGGTGGTGTGATGTACAGCACACGTCTTCCTACTGTGTTTAATATAAACGTGTATGTGATTATATTCCACACTACAAGGAAACCCCCGCGTCCTCCGTCAGGTGAGGCAGTCAGGGGTAAGAGCATGGATCCAGCTTCTCTGCACATCTGTCAGAGGAAAC